AAGTTTGTCTTTAAGTTAGCCAGAGACATGAAGTAGAAACACTGATGCCATGAGTTGGTTAAACACTCTGGTGAGCAGTTAGACAGCTTATTCCCTGGCTCTTGCCATCAGCAATGTTCTTTACTTTATGACTTGGGAGGAAATCTGGATGGAGTCACCCTGTCTGCAGCACCTCAATTCAAATCCCACTGAAATTATCAAGATACCTCATGAATTCTTCAAATTCTGGATCAAAATGTGAAGGCCAGAATGTCTAATGTGTTTTATTGGGACACAAATAACACAAACAGGTACATATTGGTACTTCAAAATAATGGCAGCATTATACTTAATTTTAATAAGCTCCTACAAACTATGGAAACAATGTGGTAGCCTAACGCCTGCTTTTTCAGATGCCTGAATGACATTTTGAAGTCCAGCTTCAGGGGTTCAGCTAGACTAAGGTTTTACCAAGAGGTTTGTGAACCTGAACAGGCAAATCTTTCTGAAAAAATAGTTCAAATATTCTTATTTGGATTAATTGCAAACATCTGCTTTTCTGAGGCAGCACAGTGAGAGGCTGCCACTAATGGATTTTGGCTCAATCTAACAATTCAGCCCCCTCCCTATGATGCAAGATGAGTGGCACCAACCTAGTTCTAACTCACTTCATTTCAGGTGTATAAAGATCTTTTAGCTATAAAAATCCATGTCCTAGACAGTTAAAATCATCCCAATTGTGATGAGCTATCTCTGTTTTCAGAAAGCTTTAAGTTTGTCCAAGTCTCAGTTGTACGTATTCCTGCTCTTGAAACCCCTGTGCAGTTATGGTTCATACCTGCCTCAGGGATGTCAGTGCTGAGTATTTGGTGATCTTCAGTCTTTGCTCCAACACCTTCCCCTTCTTTTTTATTTTGATAGCAGAATATTTACCGTTCCAGTTGGCAATTTTTGTGATACTCAGAGCCAAAAACTTAGCTGCTTTTTGGACAGTTACAAGGTAATGAAAACAAGGTAAAAACAGTCCAGGAAGGAAATAAAGTGCACAGCAAGACAGAGACAAGGACTGCTGTGACCTGCCCAGTTTTTGCAAACCTAAGGTAAGTAAATCTATGTTAATAAGTGTTCCAGCTTCTTAACATCCCCATGAGAAAAAAAGAAAATCAGTAATAACTAGAAAACAAGTCTTCTTTCCCATTTTGCCTTTGCACTTCACCTTCTATTCTCTATTAACTGTTCTCTTCATTTGTTTGCTCAATCTTCTCTCTTGAGCAGATAAAAGGGTTTCATTAAAGCAAAGCCTAATGCTGTCAGTGGCAGGAATGCTGCCAGCCCTGGCAGTTTTAGTAAGTCTATTAAGCTAAACTAAGCATGCTAATACTTAATAAATTCCTTCTATTCACAGCAGTCCTTTGCAAGTATTCCTTTATCTCATAAGAAAAACTAAGTTATGCAATTCAAATAAGTAATAAAAGGCCAGACCCCACACTCTTCCTTATCTTTTTTTATATATATATATAGTTCTGTCCTAAGAGAAGCAGCAGCATACTATCAATCATAACCTCTGCTGTACCAGAAGCACTTCTTGAGATTACAGAAAGGTCTAACAACAGCTTCATGAAAGTATTTCATTCAGAGATTATTAAGAAGAAACCAGTACTGGACAATCAAAACAGAACTTTTTTTTCAAGGATTTTCTGCCATAGCCCATTTGCAGAGCAGATGTTCTAAACCTATCTGAAGAACATCTGTTATACCCATCTAGTATAGTTTATCTCTAATTTATCCAGAGGGTAAAAAAACCCTAGATTCTACAAATCACTGACATCTTCTGTCACTGCCATAGCACTTAATACGGCAGAAAATACTCTGAAGAATAACAAGTGAACTATGTAACAGCACTAGTTGGCATCACCACTCAAAGTAAAAGCCTTTATCCTCCTTAATATCATTTGCCTTTCTTCAGGGCTCCACAGCTCCAGCTATTACTTCATGATTAATAGAAACAAAGTTTTTAAAGCAACAAAGCATTGAATGTTCATCTCTTACATAAGAGAACAGATCTGTAGCAGTAGAAGCGTTTCAGTTCAACAAAAATCTTAAAAAAAAAATCTACGGGGCTTCTAAAAGAAAAAAACAAGAGCGCTCACGTCAAAGAAAGAAGATTGATCCTAATTCTTCTCTTCTGAAAGATTAATGTCATTGTTTAGGTAATGTAATATATGGGGGGGGAGGAGGGAGGGGGCACCACCCTGATGTCTAATAGGAAACATACTCAATAAGCAGCATGATTTATTTAAGTGCACATTTACCCAAGAACTGCTGTCAGGCAAATGCAGAAATGATGGTGGAGCAGTCCCACGGCATCATTTCTCCAGCCATTTGAGATGACCATAACAGAAAACATTGGCTAGCAACAGCTGATTTTTTATTCATTCTCCATTTTCAAGTTTTGCAAAGGGTACTGGGGACCTTACTTGTTTTAGTTCATACAAAATTATCACACAGGCAGAAAAGGACCATGGTTCTATGAATAGAGAGGATCATATTTTAAACTCAAAACTTAGACTGTCCCAATAAGAAAAAAAGCACTCATCTTCATAAGGGTTTAGCAGAGAAAAACCAATGACGCACATGCCTATTATTATATTTAGCACAGAATTTGTACACCAGCTACTCCAGTGAGGCTAACAACAAATCAGCAACTTTGCACAGAAGCTGAACACCTACAGAGAAAAATAAACCAGCCTTCTTTATCAAGGACTGTCTGTCTGCTTCCCCAAGGAAAAAGAAATCACACTGAAGCCACCTACAGCAGGTGGCACTCATGTTGCTTAGCCACAGCTGTGGTGAAGCCTTCAATTAAAGGACAGCCTGGCACTTAGTGATGAATTAGACTTTTTCACAATCACCTGAGTACACCCCTAAGCAATTCTCCTCCGTGTTGTTTCATTAATTAATGTCATATCCTTGCAGGGCAAAACAGTACTTACACTAGATAATGCAACAGCCTGCAGACCTCTTCTCATACAGCTCAGTTCTGCTGTTCTACTGCATGGGAACACCCGCTTGCCAGAGAACAGAAAACACAGATGAGTTAGAGCATGAAGAAGCAAAGGAAATTCTCTCCTGTAAATAAACTTACTTTACTAAGTTGCCATAAATGGCAATACTTTTTCTATTCTTTTTAAATAAACACTCTTAGAATCTCATCTGAATGATTCACGTGATGCTGATCAATGCACCCATCTAATGAGGGGGAAAGACTTCAATCATTCTGCCCCTAAATTCATGTCTAAGACCTTAGTTTTATAGCGTAACACTGGGTATTTCTGCATTCTTATTTTTTGAGCTTATGGAAAAAAACACAAATGAAGGACCTCGAGAAAGATCTAGTTTGCCACAGAAGACTATGCAAATACCAAAAAAAAAAAAAAAAGTAAAATCATCACAGAGAATATCAATGTATATCATAGATTCTTGTCGAGTGCCATCTTGCTAGCCAATGATTCCCCTTGCGGTAAAAACCTTAGTTAGGAAAGGACTGTGTACAAAGGAACTTGTGACATATGTCCTCCAACTTATGTTTGCATAAAAATGGTAAATTTTTAGTAACAAATACAATTATCTCTTAAAACCCCATGTATTTGTTATTGAGGAAATTGGTATTGTTCCAAAAATAAACACATGTAAAAAAACAACAAAAAACCCCCTATCATTTTTCCTTCAATTACTAACTCTAGGTACCACCAACACAAAAAGGTAAGGTAATAAAAAAGGTAATAAAACCATTATTTCATGAAAAATTTATAGCATTTTTGTGCACAGCTGTTGATTTATATAAGTGGACTTTATACTGCTAGGCAACATGATTAATATACCAGAAAAGAAGGTAAAAAGTAGGTCAGTGACATAGGACAACAGTTCTTCAACTCAATTTGCCTTCCTGCCTCCAACTTGAAGCATAAAATTCATTCCTCATATTTTGGAGCACTAAATAACACCGTAACTAGATGCAGAAGACAAGAATTATTAGACATTATCCACCCTTGATCTTTACATGAAATTCCCATGACATCTATAGAAATTCCACAGCGACACAAACCAGAATAAGATCCACAGCAAACACAGCTTTCAGGATTTGCTCTTCAATATATATCACAAGCATAAGAGAGACAGCAAATGTTAACATTTTATTCATTTTGAACATATAAAGGTTATAACTCTCTGAAACAATTTTTTTAGAGCCATCTTGTGGGGAAAGTAAGCAATTTAAAACAATACATGTACTCTAATTGGTTTCCTACCAAAAAGATCAGTGTTCAGTATGACATCTTCTAGTACTCTTTTAAAAAAATAAATGTCTCAGTCACAGTGTAAACCTTATACAACATTGTTTAAACCACTGGAACATGAAGGAAGTGCCTTTATAAACAATCATGTGTTAGAAGATTGGTTCTAGATAGAAAAAATATATATCATTAAGATGCTATTTTTCTGAAGAATGCTTTTAGGCCAGATTCCATTCAAACTCCACCCAACTGCACCCCAGAAAAAAGGTGCAAAAACCTAGAGAAGCTGAGGTTTCTTTCAGAGCTTGCTTGGCCAAATGAGTAAATCAGATGGAATTATTCAATCTAATTAAAATAGGGTAAAAAAAACCAAAACAAAACAAAAAAACAAATAAATTAAATATATTAGTAGATTCAGCACTCGAAGCTGAAGAGCTTTTGTTCTTTAACATCCCTAGCATTGCCAAATTATTTGAAGTTTTGGTAATCTTCTGCTAGTTCTGAAGGACTTCACACCAGTTGTTTATAAAGAACTCATTGAATGACAGTTTTCTGTTTGCGTACACTTAAGTGAAGTACAGGGTTGGGCAGTCAATTTTGGAATAATTGAAAGTTGTGATGCAGGCTTCAGCTACCTAGCGCGCTGCTGCTTGATCTAAGTGTCTCGTCTATGAAGCAAAGCGCTTAAATTTTATCCTAGAGAACAAAAGCGCACATGTAGTCCCTATATCTTACTCGGTTTTAACTTACGCCCTATTAAAATACTTCATTTACATAGAACATTAAAGCATATCACATCACATTTATCCAATACGTAATTATCTTCTATTAATACAAAAGTAAAACAGAATACCACAGAAAGCTTTTACAAAGTGCACAATCAAGAGGTGTCACAGAAATATGCACTTTTCAGAGCTGTTACAATCAGTGTATAGTATAGGCTAGCGGGCACCTCTGTTAATTTTTGTTTTGCAAATAAATAAGGATATTTGATAACAAAAGGGTCCTATGGTACCCAAAGCCTCTGACAGATGTAACTAAACAGAACATACTGACATCCAGATGTGTAACCAGACAATTTTGCTAAGGCAAGCATGAGTATGTCAATTTTTAATTTTACACTTCTACCAAACTTTGAGTGAAAGAAGGTGTACATGTGCGCTTACAGCTTTTCTTCCTCCTTGAAGATGACAATGAGATCCGCTTCCTCCACATCCTCTTTAAACTTTGGAAAGGAGCCCTGACTCAGGTGCACTCGCCTTAATGAGATTTTGGATTTCTTTGAATTTTGGATGTTCTTTGTCAGCTACCAGCTGCAGCAATATAGCTTCACTAGTAGTAACTATAATTCCAGTACGAGCAAGACGCTGAAAAAGAGCAGAGAGAGAATAACATGAGATACTTGCAAATGTTTGTAAAAACGACAAATGGTATTTTTAAAAACATCTATTAACAAAAGTATTGCCAATTCCATTCCAACATTTCTTAGTAGTGCCATTTATGAAGCTAGAATGGAAAGTGACTGTTTTTAGACTTTCCTGAGGAAAAAGGCTGCCCGGGATTGCAAATAAGGCTTCCTGCTTGGACTGGATTCTTCCCCCATGTCAGATTTAATATGCAGAAGACCCACACCCTCTTATATTAACAACCCTTTCCCCTTGCATGGTCCCGAGGATAGCTTTCTTCACTCTCATGCAGATTTGAAAGGCCTGGGGAAAAAAGAAAATAGAGGTAGAAGCTGAAGGTGTTAAGCAAGAAACTTAATTGTAACAATTTCTCTTTTAGGGCTTGTTGTGTACTAGTACTTCGGTCTTTGGAATACACAGCATGCTAGTACTAATAGTCTCAGGAGACAGAACAAAAAGCTGCTCTACAGACCTTATAACTCATACTAGCACAACAGCGGCTCTTTTAACCAACATCCTCAGTAATTCCTGAATTAGTTCTCACAGGCTACAGAATAAAAAGCATCGCTGCATAGAAAGCAAAACTGAAAGAGGTCTGCTAGATCTTGTAAGTGCGCAACTAAACAGAGCAATGCTACACCTAGCCCAAACCACAGGAGTTAAAAGTCTGTAGTTTGTGATAAGACTGTGGTTGTTGCTACATAGCAAAGTTATCTTTAAGTAAAGTCTGAACCACCCCCTGACCCCCATCAACTTCCCAGCAATTGTACAGATGCTTTGGCAGTAAAACTCTTCATCAATCCAGCTTTCCCTCCATCATCCTCTCCTCAGCTGCCTGGTCCACCAAATCTAATAGGGCCCTGAATGAGCCAAGGGAGGGCAAGAGGCAGAAAATACAGATATGTTCACCTTCAGACAGGTTTCAATTATAATTACTAAGGGAAAGAGACTCTCCAAACTTTCTAGGGCAGACATAGATCACTGCTGTTTAGTTGTTGCATTACAAAGCAATTGAGGGGGGAAGTTATTAATTTTAGGGGACCAGTAAAGTATATGTAACTACAGTCTATATAATGAGAAACGAACTAGGCTAGATTTACTCAAGTCAATGCTTCCTCCTTGCAATAATGGCAGCAAGCCTTGCGATATTCTTAAGTTGAAGCAAAGCAGATAGCTTCCCCAGCTCTCCTATTCTGTACAATGACACATTTGTTTAAACCACATACACGTACAAAAGAGAAAAATAGGTAAATCACAATGAAATATTATAGCAATGTTTTCAAGATGTACTTCTCCAGAACAAAAAGGTTTTGCTTGTAACTAGTATGGATGAGAGAAAAAACAGACTGTTAAAGAACCTTGCCTTCTGAGAAATGTTGATTGAAAAAAGAGAATGTCTTCTCTTCAGAAGTGAAACATACCATAACATGTCAAAGAGGCTGGCATTGGCTTACTTCTAGGACTAAGTATAATTTATATAGTTTTGATATTAGTAGGAATGAATTGATGCACATGCTAAGCATACTGGATTATTTTCAAGGAAAGAAAAAGTTTTCTCAAACAAAGGAAAGCAGCAAGCATGTGTTGCATCCACACCGCAGAAACATGTAGAACAGAAAAGAAATCCAGCAGGAACAGACTAAGGTGGCTCAATCTGAGACCAAGCAGTGACACAAGGCACCTTCATCAGATAGGGCAGATACTAAGAACAGCTACATCGTTGGCCAGTTGGGTTGAATTATTTCATGAATGGAAATGTTGAGGTTTTTCGGTTTCTGGGTTTTGGGGTTTTTTTATTGCAAGTTTTTGCCTGCTGTCATTTTTAAACGCACAACAGAAGCAGAGGCAGTAACTCTTTAGGGTCATCCAGGCAGACCTGAAAGCCTTGGCTATCAATTAATTCAAACCACACTTCCTAGTACACCTGTTCAGATATTTGCATGTTTGTCACCAGCACCATCAAAATACATGCTATGAGAAGGGAAATGTGGAGAACTCAAGGGGCGGGTGGGACCAGATGGGATTTATTTGAGGTTGCTGAAGGTTGTTTTCACTACAAGGTCACTTTTTATCATCCTTGAAAGGTCACTGTGAACAGAGGAGGGCTGTTCCTGGGAAAAGGTAAACTTTAAACCCATATTTCCAGAAAGGTAAGGAGAAGGATCCAGGGAACACAGATCAATGAACCTCACCTCAGTTCACCAGGTATAGAGCAAGTTTGCACAAGAGACAATGCCAGACTCACCATTAAAAGAGTATAACTAGAACTATCAGCTCTACGGTGAGACTAAAGACGGATTACCCAAATGCTTTGCTATTTTACCAACTTCCCTAAGAAACATACCAACTCGGTCAATCAGGATTACTGACACGCCCAGTACATGAGTCCCTTTCTCCTAGTCTCTTGCTCCCAAGCATGCCCACCTCTTGCCCACAGCCCTCAGCAGCATTTTTAAAAGAGGTTCTATGGCACAAAAAGGAGACAATGTTGGCGTGTGCAGCCACTGAGGAGGATGAGGAGAAGTTACTGCCATGTAACTGGCTGGGTCATTACAGCAAGCCAGCAAACATTCCCCAAATCATATTTTAATGATGACTACTTAAGCGACCACCGCAAAACATTTTCTTTGTGCTTGGTGAGAAAACATTGCAAAGACATACTAAAAAGTTGCCTTAACCCGACCAATTTGCCTGGATTACAGCTTTTGCAACCAACCATGCTTTTAAGATGATTGATACCTCTTTGACTAGAAAGAAAATCAAAGCTAGCTAGTCACTGCTTTAACATCTGTTAACACTGCACTAACTTCTACACTTGCAGACACAGCATAAGTGATAATCAAATGTACAAAGACATACACAATAACGCAAACAGATTTCAGTTTTTCTATATTTGTTTTCTCTACTACTGCTGCTGCATCACATTGACTTGGGAAGTCATGATTCCAGGCATTCCTGCACTCTGTGTACGTCACTATGCTTTACATGACAGATGACATTAAGCTTCCATTTAATCAAAGTCATGGGTCTCATCAAATGCTATATGCTGGTGATTTCCCTTTAGCCTTTAATTCTCTTATTCATGAGAAACAGAAGAAATTAAAAGTCTTCTCGAAATCTATGAAAGAAGTATAAAATGGTGTAGTTATTACTAGTTTCAATTTCAAAATAGTTGTTAGGGCCTGAGGGAAAAATTGAAACACTTAACACATATATCAGTTTTTGATTTCTAACAGTGATGCCTCTAGGCAAGTTAGAGTACACTATCAAAAAATTGTTTGCATGAATTTGCTACCACATAGTTGTATGTGCTTTTATATCTTTTTGTTGCATTTATCTCCACTTTCTCAACATTTAGTTAGACTAAGCTCCTATTAAGGGGGGGCCAGGAGGAAGTCTTTACTATAATCACAGAGTCTTGAGATTAAGCTTTAATTTGCACTGATGAGGAAGAGCAGAGGGACAGACAGACATACAAGAAGAAGCTTTGAACAGGATCACTTACTATATTCCATTGCATTTCAGGGAATTTCAACAGCAGAACAAATACTGTTTGGAACAACAAAACCAAAAGCTCTGTAGCACTTCTACTCTGCTATACAGATAACACTCCATAAGAAAGTATCCTAAAATGCTAATGGTTATACAGAGTAACCTAGATTGCATGAAACAATCACTTTTAAAATCCAAGTGTCCCAAACTGGGTTCCACATATTAAATCATAAGTTAGGGAGAAAAAATAAGGCAGTAATCCTTCTCCACCCTGGAAGCTATACTGAGAATCAGAACATTCACCTCTTCTCAAGTCTACATTTGTCCACTACTTACTGACTTTAGAAATTTCTTGTTAGCTTACAATAAGTACGGAAATTAACATACATACCAAAGGTGGAGAAAGCCTCGACTAAGAAACTTACCTCAAGAGCAAACATTCTGTCCATCATACTTCTTGATGAGGTGGCATCAGCTACTATGTGGACTTCCAGACCTCTGCCAATTAATTCCAATGCTGTTTGCTGGATGCAGACATGAGTCTACAGGGGAGAAATCACAGGCAAAAAAACCAGCAACAAACCATTGCTATAAAACATGAGTAGCACACTGCCAAAGTAGAGTACATAATTTATTAGGGTTCAAACACGTATTTTTCTACCCCTGACATTACTAGGGAACTCAATGTGGGTTTTAAATGCCAATCAAGTTTGAGACAAGAACCTGTAGTTTACAAATATCTCATTTCAGATTTTATTATAATATCAAAGACAAATAACACAAGAATAATTTAATCTGTAGAGGATATCTGAGCACTAAGCAATATAAATTGACTCTTTTTAATTACAGAAAGCAATGCTTAATACTATTGTGGGCCAACTGACATTACCATAAAACAGTACAAGAATGGCAAGGTACGTACTTCTACTCCAAACAGGACAACGCTGCGCACTCCAGGGATCTCTGCTAATGCTGCTTCAACTTCTGGCAACACCATTGAAAATTTTGTTTTGGGAAGCACAAGTTTAGCTCCTGTTAAATCAATTTCTTGCACAGTGCTGCCAAGACCTTTGGGATACTGCTCAGTTACAATAACTGGAATTCCTAGGAGCCGTGCACCTTGGAGCTGCAAGGGGGCAGGAAGGAAAGCATACAAGAAATTATTAAAGATCGATAATGGCAAAGACGTTATTATGTGAAACTGAATAACCAGTAAACTGGCTGTGTGTAAAATAATAACTTACATGTGTGATCAAAACCCACTACAAGAAAAAAAAGCAAAAAGCATACCAGTCGTTGGCCCACGCTGATGATATCACCGAAGTACTTGATGGCAGGCCTGAATCGCTCTTGCATATCACAACAGAAAAACACAGTGCTTGAGGGTGTCAGGTTGCCCAAAGTAGTCATCTGAAAAACAAAATAATGATAATGTTTTCCATGGCAGCAAAGACCCTTTCAGAAAAGCAGCAGAGCGAAAAAAAGCCTGCAACACCTCTGCCAGGTAACAGACTTGTTACTTTAAGTCAAAATAGGAGAAAGGTTTTTTAAGCCTGATTTGGTATGTTTCTAAATTCAAATGAACAGCTGATACAAAGCACTATAGTACCGTCATCAATAGTTAATCAAGATTTTATTAGGCGAGAGACACAAGTTAGTGTAAACGTACATGGAAACTTCTGAACCCTAAAGTGGGACAGAGAAGCACACTCCCTGAAGTACTGTAAAAAAAAAAAAAGTACCAACAGGAAAATTACATTCCTCAAATTCACTTTTAAATCCACAACTCTTGGAACTGCCATAAAATCAGGATAGATTAAAGTTTAAAAAAAAGTCAGACTTCCACTTGCTTTCAATACTCTGCGTACATGTATTTTCAAGTTTCACTGTGTAGTCACTTTGTTTTATCCATGACATCTTTTAGCACAAGTCTGCTGAAAGTCCAAAGGCTAGAACGAAAGCACAGAAGCTTCTCAGTATTATGATCAGAAACTGAACTGAATACATTTTAATGACAAAAATAATCTCCCAGAGTTTCCCTCGTACAGGCTACCAAGTGGGGTAGAAGTGGGGGGTAAGAAAAAAGAAATCAAATATTGAATTTTCTCATGCTTTGAAAGAGTGCTTTGTATTTGTATGAAATTACTTGCACTACCTGCAGAAGCAAAGGATAAGGCTTCAGTTGGAGGCTACAGGGAAAGAAAGCACCTACATACTATCATATAGTTGTAAGGCAACTCAAGAGCAATTACATCCATTCAGGAGCTTTTCAGCAGATTGATAAATCAAATTGAATAAACTGCTTCTGGGAAGTACCCATTAATTGTATACACTTCGTTTCCTGCAAACTAAGGTTGTGATGTTTTAAACCAAAACAAAATTACAAAATCTGTAAAATAGTGTATTTGGGAAGAGCAGGGATATATTGGGTTTATGTGGCAAGGTTTTGGTAGCGGGAGGAGGCTGCAGGGGTAGCTTTTGTGAGAAGTTGTCAGAAGCTGCCCTATGTTGGACAGAGCCAGTTCCAGCCAGCTCCAAGATGGATCCGCTGCTGACTAAAACTGAGCCCATCAGTGATGCTGGTGGCATCTCTGTGGTAATATATTTAAGAAAGGGTACAAAGAACCCACTGTGACACAGCAGCTGGGAGAGAGGAGTGAGAACATGTAAGACAAACAAACTCTGCAGACCCCAAGGTCAGTGAAGAAGGAGGGGGAGGAGGTGCTCCAGGCGCCGGAGCAGAGATTCCCCTGCAGCCCGTGGGGAAGACCATGGTGAGGCAGGCTGTCCTCCTGCAGCCCATGGAGGTCCATGGTGGAGCAGATATCCACCTGCAGCCGGTGGAGGACCCCACGCCGGAGCAGGTGGGTTCCCGAAGGAGGCTGTGACCCCTGTGGGAAGCCCGCGCTGGAGCAGGCTCCTGGCAGAACGTGTGGACCTGTGGGGGACCCACACTGGAGCAATGTGCTCCTGAAAGACTGCACCCTATGGAAAGGACCCATGCTGAAGCAGTTTGTGGAGGACTACAGCCTGTGGGAAGGACCCACATTGGAGAAGTTCATGAAGGACTATCTCCCGTGGGATGGACCCCACACTTGAGCAGGGGAAGAGTGTGAGGAGGAAGGACTGGCAGACACGAACTCTTATGAACTGACTGCAACCCCCATTCCCTGTCTGTCTGTGCCACTTGAAAGGAGGAGGCAGACACGAACTCTTATGAACTGACTGCAACCCCCATTCCCTGTCTGTCTGTGCCACTTGAAAGGAGGAGGTAGAGAAATCAGAAGTGAAGCTGAGTCTGGGAATTGGGAATCCTTAAATATAAGTCCCAAATCTTTCATTGATTCAGCACATCTCCTGAGTAAAACATGTTTGATCTCAATTCCCAAGGCTAAAAAACTACAGTAATGGCCATGCTCAACCATACAGAATGGCCTGTGCAAACTGTTGTAAAAATTACTTGTGCATTATAATTGTAAAAACTAAATTCCCACACCTCTCAGATTCAGTACACCGCTACTGCCAAAACAGCAAAAGTTCATAACCTCAGTTCCTTCAGTCCTTGCCAGCAAAATGGCAATACTATTAATACAAGCAGTTACAAAGGCAAATGCAGTAATGACCATAAAGCTCTAACACTGGACCCACTGATGCCACAGGAAGACAGAAGAGCATCACAACAGGCATGAGGGAAGTCTTTTTCACTAGGAAGGTACAGCTGCACTGAAAGAGGTTACCATGGGTGGGGGGATCTCCATCCTTGGAGATTTTTAGCATTCAGCAAAGCGACAGCTGATTTGATCAAGAATTGGCTTTGCGTAAGAGTTAGGGAAGGCAGCCCCTAGATATCTCTCCCAAACGACACTTCTGCAATTCTACACCATGTAATAAATGAGGCCTGGGACCAAGAACACTTGAAAATAAAATTAAATATTTAATAACTGCCTTGTTCTTGAACACCATCCATCTATATGCTTGAACAATCCAGAAACCAGTTGGTGAGAGGCACTAACGTACAATTGAACATCACAGCAAGCACCTACCGTGACCCATTCTAACTTTGGCACTACTATCAGAGCAGTCAATCGTGACATTTAACTTTCCCACGGCTCAGTGGCAAAAATAGAGTAATTGGAATAGACAATAGCTATAAGTGTGCCTCCTTGTCATGGTTTAACCCCAGCCAGCAACTAAGCACCACGCAGCCGCTCACTCACTCCCCCCCCATCCAGTGGGATGGGGGAGAAAATCGGGAAAAGAAGTAAAACTCGTGGGTTGAGATAAGAACAGTTTAATAGAACAGAAAAGAAGAAACTAATAATGATAATGATAACACTAATAAAATGACAACAGTAGTAATAAAAGGATTGAAATGTACAAATGATGCGCAGTGCAATTGCTCACCACCCGCCGACCGACACCCAGCCAGTCCCCGAGCGGCGATTCCCCGCCCCCCCACTTCCCAGTTCCTAAACTAGATGGGACGTCCCATGGTATGGAATACACCATTGGCCAGTTTGGGTCAGGTGCCCTGGCTGGGCATGAGAAGCTGAAAAATCCTTGACTATAGTCTAAACACTACTGAGCAACAACTGAAAACATCAGTATTATCAACATTCTTCACATACTGAACTCAAAACATAGCACCGTACCAGCTACTAGGAAGACAATTAACTCTATCCCAGCTGAAACCAGGACACTCCTACTCAGAAAACGTGTCATTTTGTCTTGGCATTTACAGGACAAGCAAAGACCATTATTTTCTTCTATAAATCATTCCACCACTCTAATTTTTTTAAGATCACTTTGAACTACTGCAAACCATCATGGATCAGAGTGATCAACATGGAGTTAGTCTATTGCCTTAGTATACACCTTCCTATGCCAAGGCAGTGGATGGCACTACCATCCTTAGAGGAACAAGTATGAATAGACTAGGAAGGCCTTCAAGAAGTTGCATAGTCTGCCTCTACAGAAGCATCAACCAAACACAAATATTCTTCACAGATACCTACCTGGTCTGACCCATCAGCAATAAACAATTTACAGAGCTCCTATACAATCCATCCCACAGCTCTTATCTTCATCTTGCCGTGTCTTACCCACAGCTCCTTTGTTGCCATTTAAGAGTGTTATTTCCAGTTCTGTCCATGCTGGATCTGAAATGCAAGAGCATTACCATCCTCCTTCATGTGCATAACCATGCACAAACATCTATTCCCATACCTCAAGACTCAGATCCAGTCTCCCTTTAGTCCTGTCCCTTCCTTATTCTAAAATATATCTAATACTTTCAGTCTTTCCTCCTACAACTCAAATAATTTTCATTGTCCTCCCTGGGGTGCTTTTCAAATTGCAGTCTACAGTGAGACACCCAATACTACTATAACAGTAGTATTTCTCAGCCGTAATAGAGCCCCAGAGAAGATCGGTCAACTCACAGCCCTTGCAGGCTCTATTCAATTTGTACTTTCCAGTATGCTATTTGCTCTTTTCATAATTGAAGATACTTAGACTCCTGAGGTGCATTTTAGCCTCAAAAATCATCCCTTGAACTCTCCTTCATGTTTTATTTGCATAGTTCATTATTTCTACCTTAGTGTAGGAATTATTTCTACCTTTATTGCACCCATTTTTAACTGCATCTTATTTCACCTTGTTTCTCCAACTTGTAATGAAAAGCCTGAATTCTGCTCTCTGATGCTTGCAGCTCCTCCCAAATACAGTATTTGCCTTCAGTTTCAGCAATGACATGGATGACAGAATATTTACAAGCAGTGGATTTGGAATAGATCTTATAGAGCCCAATTCAATATTATTCTGATTTGACAGTGAAGCACAGAAGAAAACTGACTGCCTTTCCAGCCAGGGAGCATCCTCGTTACAGACTTCCACTGAACCCATAATCCCATGTGTTTATGTCAAACATCACAGGGAGCTGGAGCAAAAGCTTTTTGCCTGCTTTTCTCTATTATCAAGTTCGTTTAATATGATTTAATTTAAGCCTTCAGTTTCATACCAGCGGCACTCTAAAATAAAGTTGGGTCAACTATGTATTTGCTAAATAGAAGCTTTCGCAAAATCTAACACAAATAATTCCTATATTGATTTTCCTATTTATTTCTGATTAACTTGCAGTCTAAATCGAACCATGCAACACCTGGCAGAACAAGAAGAAACCAGAAGAAATAGATGGCAAGATCAAAATATCAACACTTGTTGGTGTTACTTGGAACAGCAGATCTGGGAAAGAGCACAGCAGAAAGTAGTCTGAAATTAAGTTTCATAAATAGTATGCAGTCCATAAATAAATTCACAGAAGTATCTGCTACATATAAAGGAAAGTTTCCATTTACTGTTTCTTCAGTGTGCCACGTAAGTCCTACCACTCACTTGCTCTCAAAGCTGTCCTCGGTTCTCCACGGCCACAGTGCATCAGGGATATTGGACACCTCCACCTCAGGCATCCCCCAGCAGTGAACACCAGGACCACCCGCACCATTCCAGCATTGCACCCTACCAGCGAGCTGGGGTGGGGGCAAGCGTACACCCGAACGAATGCCAAACCCTGGGCTGGCACCTCTTTGCTTTCACTCCAAGGAGAGGTAGGCTGTGCCGCTGCAGGCGCATGGCACCTGTCCGAATCAACCCCAAATATAACATCTACTCAGCCACGGTATCATTAAACAACCTAAATTTAAAAGGAAAAAAAAAACCCAACACCCCAAATCACCTGAAAATCCCACACACGCTGTATAAGCTTCTCCATTACCCTCCATTAGCCACCAGGACTTCCTTCCCTCCAGCTGGAAGTTATCCACAGCACAACCAGAATAGGTATGTCAGACGGACATGTAACCCAATGCAGCTCTTTCACCCAGCTAGAGGAGTCATCTCTAGGACCTTGTCCAGCCCAGGATTTAAAGGTATGCTCTCATGAGTTACATCAGCTTTAAATCCTACTCTAGAGAAGGCCTAGGTGGGAAAGGACAGGTGTTTTTTCACATCTATTTCATCTCTGCTGATTATTTTTAATCACACAAAATGTGACTGTGATGAAATGCTGTAATTACAGTATCAGCTTTACAAAAATATTCACATATACTGGGTCTTCATCTGTACTTTCCCTGTTCAAACTTCAGGAAACCATTGCACATACAAAATGCAATTTTCCCCCGCTATTTGAAATCAATAAGAAAATGGAAGTAGAGAAATAATCCCACGTGACATCACTAGTCACCTCATAAATCTCTTGCCAAGGTTACCCACTAAAAGGGCAGAGCAGAGGACCTCACAGCATTGGTATTTCAAGGATGCCATGAAAACACAACAACGAAAAGAAGCTATCATATTTTCTTCTCCTTTACTTCTAAAAGTAAATCTGTAAGATTCAGTTTTACTTTGGTGCTTACCTTTTAAAGGGGAAAAAAAAAAAAGAAATTCAGTTTAATGTATTTCAAGGGAAAAATAGGTTACAAGTGTTTCAGCTTAGGAATATAAATATTTATTTTATGCTAAGCTGAAGTGCTGCCTTTATTTGCAATTCAGCATTTTAAAAGGACAAACTTAGCTAAACACATGATGTTCATATAACTACAAAAGTACAAAATTCTTTATCAAAATCCAAAAGTATCAAAATGCTTGCTGCAGAGTAAAGATACAGAAACAAGGATTCTGGATTTTAAGAAACCTCTCTTTCAGTATTTTTAGTCAGTTTTTTCCCTTCTTTTAAGTGCTGCTTTTTAAAAAAAAAATTTATTTAGAAAGACTGTATTTATTGTAGCACTAATGTATCCAAATTTATAACTGCATGTTTAAAAAAAAAAAAAGGAAACAACTCCCCTCACTTGACTCAAATCCTGCAATTTATGCTTTGCTTTTTCCTGGTCTTCAGAAAACAGATTTAGGCTCCTGAGTTAATGTTACTTCTATTTCCAAAGCATCTGAATGTAGCAATATTAGACATGTGTAAAAAGAGTGAAAATCTGTGTATAAATAGTTCTGTTTTATTTACCTTATCTTTCAGCAACAATTAAGTAACATTCTGCAAGAAAGATCCGCCCAAGATATCAACATGTCTTTTAAAAAGAACCCCTGAAGTAGAGGTGCTTTATGCAATTACTTCAATAATTTTACCCTTTTAGCTCCAGCATCTTAAGGTTACAAGTTTGTAAATGCGGGGCACAAGTACTGCGGAAGAGGAGTCACCTTGAAGTTATGACAGCAACTGTGAAATAGCCTCTCTTGGGCATATACACGAATGCTGGCTGAACTCCTCTATTACATGGCTATAACGAGCATAGCTGTCTTGTCTTCTGATCTCTCCAAAGTGTTTTTCCTTACTGCTTCTCTCCTCCAAAGGCAGCTACAACAGTTACAGCAAAACACAATAGTTTTAGTAGCACTAATTAACTGCATTTAGAGTTAGAAGATGTTAAAGCAGTCCTGCATTCCCCCACCTCAACTGTAAATCTTATTCTGTTAAAACTTTCAAAAAAAGTAAATTCCATGAAAAGCAGATGACTGCTTTCTGCTAGTACTCAGTCCCTCAATTTGCAAGCAAATGCCCTCCTCACCCGTTGGGAGAGGCCGAGGGTAAAGTCCCTTCTCACTGCAAGACAGTGGCTGAGGAATTTGAAGAGCGGCAGCCAGGCTGAGCATCAGGGTTTACTGCATCCCACCAGCCTGCCAAACACTGGGTGGCCGGTAAAAGTTCAAGTGGCTGTTTTGCGCCAGGACAGCTAAACCAAACAAACTTGCATATATGAGCACAGTACGAAGGCACAAATACAACCAGAGAGCAAATGTCCCTGTACGGATTGAGCCTTGAATTGAGCTGCATGGAGTGACTTTCCAAGGGCAGCATATGGTGATTTCTCCATGAGATTACTGCCCCCCTCAACTGCAGGGACAGGAAATTGAAACAGCCCAGTCAAACACCATTCGGTACTGACATTTTTTGAGCTACTGCAACAAAAGGCATCCTTCCGTGACAGGTCCACACAGGAATCAAAATGGGAGGATATCGTTCCAGGGCTCATGGGCGCTACCACCCTAGGGTAGCCATCCTGAACTACACGCATACATATATTTTATAAAGTTAGCACATAAAAATACTGAAATTATTGTCTAGGGATACAGATGCTAGTATCTGTGACTCTTTATTTTAAAACAAATATGTATTTCCAAATCAAGTCTAATCACATCACTGAGCAAAGGTTGTCCCTCTTGAAAGACAAGTTCAAAATGGTATTTCAACTGACTATGCCACACGCAGAGTTGACAAACCTATATCATGTGTAACTACAGATAAAACGTCGGGGAGGGAGACAAAAAGGGCACACAATAGTGGCAGTGCATGAATCAACATATGGAAATAAAGTATAATCTTCCCATCAGTAAATCCCAAAGGTCTTAAAAAGCACAGCTGTGACTTATCAGACCAAATGTTCCCCAAACGAGTGATCTCTGAGCACCTGCCGGTGGCTTAAGGCAAGCTGACTGACATCATTGTGATGTCTCCAGCTCATTCTCAGCTGCTGAAGCACATCAAGGAGGCAACTAAAATAATACACAAGTACCATCCTTTTCATATCAACAGTTGCTATTGTCAGAGAATTGCAACAGTATCGGCGAAAGCAGCTAATCAATTAGGGAATTAATGCATTAAATATTGGTTCATCCTGAATCCCTGCAGTAAAAGCTGCGTAGTGCATCTGCACTCTGGGAATGACGTATCCTTCCATGTCTCAACGCTGACCTTTTACACCGAGATGTACGTCCTGCTATGAATGCTGGGGCTGCATTTATAGTTTCAGTGCAGAAGCTGTTTACAAGAGAGTCTTTGCAGAGCAGTGATCTGCACGCACAAGTAAGAAACAAAATTCTGACCTGCACCACTCCTGCACACCCAGATTGCACAAACTCCATTTTTAAAATCCTTGCTTGAATTAATACCCATACCAACTCTTTTTGCAAGTTGGCAAGACGGTCCCTTCCCATCTCTCTGGCTGGGCACCCATCCATTCTGTTTCCAACACACAAAGGAGAAAGGTTTTAAACTGAAGACAATGAGTGACGAATGATGAAATGAGTAGTAACTGACAAAATAAGCCATTAAACTAGTTTGGTCTTACTAACCACTCTTTCCATACACAGGGTTAAGGAAAGGACAAAAGACTCCAAAGGCATCCTTGATGTACAGTCTAAGCGAACAGGACACCTCGAGAGTTTATGGGTTCAAGACACTATGATTAAGCAGGGTTTACAAACTGTGTGGATTAGACTGTTTGTAGAAGCATAAAGACAAGATGAGCAGTTTTTACGACATCACTTTTTCAACGTACTAGTAATGTTGGCTTGACAAACTAAAACTTCTTAATTATAAATTAAGAAGAATGTTCTCAATTAAAACAACAAGTACATGTTTTGTTTTTTTACAGTTGACTTCATGATGCTGGAGAAAGGAAAAAGCAATTTAGCTTCGAGTGCAACTATTACAGCATGACTGGCACGAACCTCAAGCGTGCATAAAGGTATCTTAGTATGAAACACACGTACTGTATCTGTCTGGCAGTCTGGTTTCCCGGTTTACGGCCACAAAACTAGCGAGTTACGAACCTGCAAATCGGAAAGCGCTTTCGGGGGCCAGAAGGGATACAGGAATCCTAGGCACCGGCAAGCCACGAGACCGCGCTCCGGCAGAGCCCTCGTCAGCGGCGCCCTTCGAGTTTCCTCCTAGCGGCACCAGCTCCGGTGAAGGCCGGGCAGCACCCGCCGCCCGGTTTAAAGGCGGAAACGCTGCTTATTTCAGCCACCGGGCTGTCTTCCCATTCACCGCCGGGCCAAGCAAGTTCTGGCGCGCTGAAGGCAGAGCCCGGTTACCAAACGCGTGCGGCGCGGAGCGCACCTGCCTCCCCGCCTCCGCGAAACGAAAGTTTCCACGCAGGAGTCAGTCAGCGCCGGCGTGCGGGGCTCTGCCCGCGGCTCCCGCCCGCCCCGGGCTCCCCCGGCCGCCGCC